CTTTGCATGTTGAAAAAAGATGGTAAGAAAGGACAGCGCTTAACTCAAAGTTTAGCAAATGCAACTTAATGTGAGAATTTTAGGCCATGTAGTCCTTGGTTCGGTGAAGAGGTTGTAGGTACTTATAGGGTAGTTGTCTTCCTGATGTAGTAAAAAACACAATTAGTAAGAAACCAATGGATTTGTTTCTATGAATGACTCTGGTGGTTAGGAATGTAAACTCCCTGCATAGCTGAAGAGCAAGACTTCCCTGTCTTACTATCGGGCGTCCAACCCAGAAACATTTCTCTGCTGCTTTCCGGGTTAACTTTTGCGTCACTGTGAGACTCCGTATCACATCTCTGAAAAATGTAGCTAAACAGCACTCCTCTGCTTAGCTCTGATCCCAACAGGGAAAGTCTGCCTCCTACACATCTACAGACATAGAATTAGGGACCCCAAAATCATAAACGCTGCTCTGCATTTTTCAGTGCTGCTTCTTCCTCTCTTTTCCTTTTTTTCTTCTGCATTCCTGCCTGCCTTCCTTCATTCCCCATTTATCTGTGACAGCAATGTAGAAAACAGTCTCTGGAGCCCTCAAGAGTAACAGGTATTCAAGATGTTTTCTTCTCAAGGAGTTTATGGCTTATTAGGTATTGATGTAATGGCCATTACTGCTTCACCAAATGGTTCTGGTTCTTTCCTTTTGTACACATGTGGTAGAAATGTGTAGTCCAGGTTATCTCCATTTTACTATTGAGGAAACAACTTGTTCTGAAAATTTAAGTAATTTGTCTACTGTCACTCTGCTGGGGTTCATCTGACACTGAAGTCCGTGCTATTCCTTTTGTGTCACACTGTGTTTAAGGTGGATGGGTATTTTGATAAGTGGAGTTTGGGCAGAGGGCATTCCAGGTGGAGAGAACAGGATAAGCAAAGAGGTGGGGGCGGGAAAACGGCCAGATGTGTTTTTGGGATCAGTTAATTAGATAAACTGAAGTCAGATGGAAGAGAAAGCTGTGTGCCAGGAGTGGTGGGCGGTGAGGCGGGGGTGCAGAGAACCTGGACTGTCAGGATAAGGAATCTGGAATTTCTTCAGTTTTGACTGATGTGTTAATAAATGAGTCATTTCACCTCCCAGTTTGTATTTATTGACTCTCTGGAGAGTTGTCCTCCCTTTCTATTAGAGATAAACACGATAAAATGGTCTAAAATGGCACATGAGGGGTGTAGGTGATATATTCACTTACCTACTAAGCACCATGCACAGTTGAGGTGCTGGCGGGAACATGAGAGACAGGACAGTGACCTGCCCTCTGAGGGTGGACACTACAGTGATACTGAGGATGTGGGGATTAGTCAATGGAATAGCTCATGGGAGAGAATTTGCATCCTCTTCTCTGGAAGACAGACCCTCATTTATCTTGAGGAAGTTCATAATGAGGTTGTCTTATTTTATTAAATAGAAAAGGACCAGAAACTGGGAAGGTAATTTTTTTAATAAAAAAAAATTGAAAAGAAAAGGCTCTAAAATACCAAGAATGTAATGAATGCATATGCTATTGTCATTCAAGAGGGAGACTCAACTGGCAAGGGATTATGTATTTTTAAAGCTTCTTCCAGAAGAAATACTGTAGAGTAATAGAAAATCATGCAATTAGATGAAGCAGTAGTTTTGGCCTTTTGCTTGAAGCCTGCTGAGCGGTAAGACATGTGACTGAAGGTCAAGGAGGGTATGCAAGTAGATATGGATTAATAAACACACTGGAGTGTCTTACTGAGATAGTAATATTTGAATTTTAAAACACTTTTAAAAACTATTTGAGCCCATGATTAATTGAAGCTCACAAATTTCAAGCAGTGAAATGTGTTTTACTGCAATTGCTATTAAGAACTTCCTATCAGCTATCCGATTCCTTGATTTCCCTAGTGATTTTTATGATCTAAATTAAACAGAGAATGGTATAAATTTTCCCTTTTTTGGGTAGCTGATTAAAACCAATATCATCTCAAAATACTGTTACATTGTGGTTATAACTGACTCTATGGAACAATTTATTATATACCTGATTACTTCCAATATTTTCATGAATTGATCATAAGCCAATTGAAAAACTTACTGGCCTAAAATAAGTTCTATAATAATAGAATATACTGCCTGTAAGAATTATTAATGAAATAAATCCTGGTGCATGGAAATTAGCAACTCTCTGTATAAATCATGTTGTCAAGAGACTGGAAATCACTACCTGAAACGTATTTCTAACTCCACATATAATCTGTCATACTGATTTCATCACCAATTCATAAGTATGCCTCAATAAGGGAAATTACTTTATGAATAGATCTTTTTCCTTAGAATTATTTTCAAAAAGGAAAAAAATAATATAAACATGAAAATGAAGGGACTAATATCTATATGCAACTGTAAAAATGTCTAAAATGCCAATTTTTAAAATTAAAAAGAGCTTTAGTTTCCAAATAAACATATATGTTATTTTAGATGTGATACAAGTTTGGTAAAGATTTGATCAAGTTTTTCAAGAAAAAAAAATCCTTGCACACAAATTGCACAGGTAATTCATTGTAAAAAAAACTTGAAGTGGATGAAAAAATGACAAAGACCATTTCGTTCCCTGCAACCGCAGCTGTCTTCTTGCATTACACCACAGAATCTGAACAGAGCAAAACCAAACAAAGGGTGCTTGGGGATGTTTTCTCATGCAATCACAAATCAGGAAATAAAATAAAACCTTTTCAGGGCAGCGACTGTTTGTTTTGACCCTCCTCTCCTCTGTCTCAGTGCCGGATTCTTCTCAATGGGCAGCACAATGTGCCTTCCTCCGGTGTGCGAGAGACAGGGACATCTATTTCCACTAACTTTCCAGCAATTTTTTTTGAGGGCCCAGAGAAGAATTTTTATTTTATATGCAAGAGTCAGTTAGATTAACTTTATGGAGTGTCTGTGACAAACCACAGAACAGGGGGGAAGTGGGTAATTAGGGGTTATAGCTTTTGGGGATACGTGTTGCTTAATTTTCCCTTAGCCCCTTGCTTACCTCAACCTCCATAAAGTCCAGGATCCCTCATTCTCTTGCTGGTACCCAGAAGGGCTGCTGCTTCCCATCTCCCCACCTCCATGTGAATATGCAACAATTGGAACAGTGGACTACCTTGACTTTCAAATTCATGGTGCTTTACACATTCTGGTCATTTTCTTCATGACAGTCTTGGAGCAACATGGCAGGCCACATGGGCACTTTCAGAAGCCTGGGATTCTATTGCTTGACAGTGATCTGTGCTGACGGCCACTGTCCTTCCCCACTGTTTCTTTAGGATTTCTCCCTGTCAAGATGTGACCTATTTGTTGTCTGATAGTTACCTCCTCTCTAGGTGTGGTTGTCTCTCCCATCTTCTTACCGTGTCCAGGCATCGATGTGTTACTTAACCAAAGGATTTGAATCCCTGCAGGTTTATGGGGCAAAGCCATGCATCTAAAAAATAATATTACCCAGTGGAGGGGCGAGGATGGGGTCAGTGACAAGAACACTGAAAACAGGCCAAAGAATGTGTTCTCAGGTGGGCAAGAGGACAGGAAGATGCCTGCAAGCCAGGGCTCTGACCTTAGGAGGGCGAACTTCTGTCAGGGGGTTAGGAAGACCTGCCAAGGAGGAGCAATCTCTATACATAATAAATTAAAAACAGTGCAAGACTGATTGAAGAAAGGCCAACAGAAAGCTTTTGGGTTTAGAGGACAGATATAAAAAAGAATCATAAAAGAACTGTTTACAGAGAGAGAGGAAAACAGACAGTGCCATAAAAGCTCAGAAAGCAGAACACTGGGATAAATAGGGGGCTTGGAAACGGGCTTTCCATGTTGTGGATGTGACTGCTCCGTCCCTGCGTAGGGCCCCCCAGGGACACTGCCCCTTTCTAGAAGTTGACTCCTACATCTTCTCTCATATTACAGGGTGTTTTCTTAATGACTGCTTCAATTTTTATTTTTTTCCATGAAAATGTTATTTAGAGAACACGTATTAGCCTAAAATGACCTTAATTATATGCAAGCATTTTACATGCTTATAGATTTACTTAATGGAATTACATTTACAAATACATTCACATCTATTTATATAATTTTATTTGTAAAATGAAAAAAATAAAACTTAAATGAATAACATATCAAATATTTATATAAGATTATTTGACATGTATAAAATAATGTAATGTAATTTTGCATAATTTAGTGATCATTCTGGAAATATTCTTTTATCTAGAAGTATCAGTCCCTCTATGTACCTGACACTATTCTAAGAAGTGGGGCTACATGGTGATAAAAGAGACAAAATTTCAGCCCCGTGAGGAGCACAAGGTCTCAGAAAATGAGCTCTATGAAGAAAAAGGGAAGCAGATGATGGCACCGCTGATGGCAGAGTGTGTTATTTAGAAAGGGTGGTTAAGGAGAGTCTCACTGAGAAGAGATATTAGAGCGGAGACCTGGATGACATGACTTCATAATTGCAAGCTTTGGATGATATTGAAAAAGCCTTAAAAAAACCACTTTACAGGCCATGCATGCGAAGGTTATGTCATGGAGATCACAAATATACGCCTACAATATGAACGAGAAGTTATTTCAAATGTTATGTCTATTTTAATACCAAGGGTACTTGTGACTTAAAGTGAAATTTCCTGAGACAGTATGAAACATGGACTCAAAAATATTCAACTGGGTTAGATGACACAAAAGGATGTATTCTTAAGATAGGGACACATAGACATAGAAGCTACATGTGAAGAGCCTAATAAAACATTTCTTGGCATGTGTTATGGATTGAATGTTCGTATCCTCCACAAATTCATATGTTGAAGTCCTAAACCCAGTGTGACGCTGTTAGGAGGTGGGGTCTTTGGGAATTTATTAGGTTATGAAAGAAGAGCCCTCATGATGGGATTAGTGCCCTTATAAGACGGGACATCAGAGAGCTTGTCCCTGTCTCAGCTCCCTTCTTTTTTAGGACGCAGCAAGAAGATGGACATCTGCAAATAAGGAAGTGGGCCCCCTGATCTGCTGGCACTTTGATCTCGAACTTCCCAGCCTCTAGAACAGTAAGAAATAAATGTTATTTAAGCCACCCAGTGTCTGCTAATTTGTGGTAGCGGCCTGAACTAAGACAGTATGTGGGAGTGAAAACAAGTCATGCCCCAAATTAATATATTTTTATATACTGTGATGTTTGATCTGTGCGAGAATGTAAATTTATAAATTATACATTAGATGTACACATTTTCCATAAAAACTAGATCCCTAAATTTTGTACATTAAAAAGAAATTTATATTTAAATTGGCCCAAACCTTTTTCTTTTGGATTTTTTCATGGGGAACTGAGGGATTACTTATTTGAGGGGTTGGCTTATATATAGATACAGTAAATATGCCTGGCCTATGGACAGATTATGTATGGATGCCTACTGCTGCCCTCTCAAACCTGCCACAAGAATTGAGCAAGACACAGGAGCTCGATGACTGTGGAATGCTGGCTGAAGCTTCTATCCTGAAAATAGATTCCTTAGGTTAACATGCACATTTAACTACCTGTCCCCATTTTTCAGCAGTCAAACTGCAAGTCTGAGAAGTGGCCAGAACATCCTTTGCTCTGGTGAATGTGAATGTCTGAAGCAGAGGGTAGGACAACATTAACTGTAGGAAGCCTTTGACCACTCTATTGTCCAGGCTGGGTAGATGGTGGATGACGTAAATGAAACTCAAGTCTTTATATACATTACTTCCTAATGATAGTCTGATTTAGGCAGGCAGCCTCCCCTAGAGTGGGGAGAAAACTAGGTATGTGATTGAGGGATGCCCAAAAGCCTCTGAGACCTAATACTTTGGACTACTAATACTAATACTAATACTAATACTAATACTAATACTAATACTAATATTAATACTGGGATCTTGGGGGAAGCAGAAATGTCTATGTGGAAGGCAGAATTTTAAGATGATCCCAATGACCTTGTATCACCTCCTCCCTGTGAGTGTGAGTGGAATTTGTGAATAAGAAGAGATGTAGCTCCTGCGAATGTTATGTTACATAATAAAAGGGATTTTGCAGATGTAATTAAGGTTCCAAATCAGTTGACTGGAAGAGGGAGATCATCCGAGTGAACCCGAATTAGTCATGGGAGCCCCTCCCATCTGGATCCAGAGGGCAGAGATTCAAAGCGTGAGAAGACCTGATGTGCCGTAACTGGCTTCACGGTGAATGGGGCCACATGACGAAGAAAATGGAAGGCCACTAGGAGCTGAGAATTATGTCCTACTGACAGCCAGAAAGGAAATGAGAACCTCAGTCTTCCAACCACAGGAATGGAATTCTGCCAACACCAAGATTGAGTTTGAAAGTAATTTTGCCCTTGAGCTTCCAGACAAGGACTCAGCCTGGCTGACATTTTAACTCAGACTTGAAGACCCTAAGCCTAGAACCTATTCACAGGTACTGAACTTCTGACCTGCAAAACTGAAAATTAAAAAGTGGGTATTGTTTTAAATTTGTTATGCAGCAATAGAAAATAAATATATTTTGCTAATACCACATTTTTTTCTAGAGATGCATGTTGCAGTTGTATCATTCTTTCCCTTTTCAGACAAGTCAGTCCATAAGTAATATTTAGATTAGGTCCTTATATTTTGTGGCTGGGGGAGCTGAGGGTTGTGGGGTGCCCTTTGATTTTTTTGTCCCTTTTCTTTGCAATAGTTATATACAGGGTGTGATATTGTTAAATGTTAGTGAGGTTTGTTTGTGTGTTTTCCATTTGGTTTGCATGCCATAGGGACTCCAGCACTCCTCACTATTACAACAAAAGGCAAGTATAGGCACTAAATAGCACATTTTGATACCACCCCTTTCTTATTACTCTTTTCTCAATGTCCTACTTTATCTCTAAACATCACCCTGCTCCTCATTTCAGCTCTGTTGCCCTGGATTTAAAGCCGTCCTTTTTCACCCAAGAAAGCACTCTGACCTGTGAGGACCACATTTCCACTGTCCAGAGCACGGTTGGTCCCCACCCTGCCCTGGCGTGAGTTCTGCTTTCTAACCCATTTACTACCACAGGGGATTCACAGCATTTGTCAGCCAATGTGTTTCCTGGGGGCCTCTCACCAGCCTCTTGAACCCACATATTCTCCAGCAGCAGTAATAGATCAGCAACACTTTGATTTTCTTCTTAATGACAGGTGGGTGAGAAAGACCCACAGGCCTGGCAGCATAAGTGCATTATCCAATGAGAGCACTTGCTCAGTGTGGGCCCCAAGCCCTGAGGCCCAGGGGATAAGCGACTGCTCAAGGTCATCCCAGAAACTCAGCCTCTGAATTCTATGGCCAGCCCCAGGTGGACAGGCAATCCATGTTAATTAATTATGATGACAGATCTGGGGTTTAACATCCCCAAACTGTGGATCCCAGTATAAGTGAGCTGCCAAATCTATGTATTGAGATCTATATATGTGATCCAGTTTATAGGGCCTTTAAGGACCTTTAAGGTTATTGAAAAGAATAGAATTTTAGTAATTGGTTGATTGAACAGTTACCTGGAATTATGGCTCAGTCTTGGGCTGTCACACTCAGACCTCACTCTTTCAGGAGAAATGAGAATGGGTTAGATGAACTGCTCCACTGTGTTGTTGGTGAGCTGGTTGTTTTCTCTTCCGTGGCTTTCATTCCAGGTTATTGTCCTTCACCTGCAAATTTCTTCATCAGATACATAGACAGATAGATAGATAGAAACATAGATAGATATTGTGATATGATAAGGAATGCATATTTGACCTCATCCCTGGCACAGAACTCTTAAAATTCCTGTAATTTACTGAGTGATGGGGTGAGAACAAGGTCTTTTAGGCTTTTTGTTGTTCATAATAAGCTTATTTTATCCATCCCTGAGTTTATGGTGATGAGATGATCTTGCTGGGCCCCTGGGTATCTTCAGGATGAGTGCTGACCACCAGAGGAACTAACCATGTCATTAGAGGGTTAAAACATTCAGCTCCACCTTTGACTTCCAGGGAGGGGTGAGGGACTGCAGATTGAGTTAATTGCCAATGGCCAATGATTTAATCAATGGTGCCTAAGTAATGGATCCTAAATGATGTGGTTCAGAGAACTTCCACGTTGGTAAAGGCATCAATGCCCCGGGAGGGCGATGCAACCCAAATACCACAGGGATGGCAATTTCCATGCTTGGGACCCTTCTGGACCTTGACCTTTGTAACCCTTCATTTGGCTGTTCATTTTTTTTCTTTTTTAAATAATATCCTTTATAATAAACCAGTAATAATAAGTGTTTCCCTGAGTTCTGTGGGCTATTGCAGCAAACTATCAAAGCTGAGGAGCAGGTTGTGGGAACCCTTCATTTGTAGCCCAGTTGGACAGAAGTTTGGGTAATCTGGGGAGCCACTTCCTATGATTGGCATCTGATGTGAGGGGCAGTGTTGTGAGACTGGGCCCTTAACCTTGGGGGTCTGTGCTCTCTCTGGGTAGTTAGTGTCAGAATTGAGTTGATGTCCACAGAGAATTGGAGAACTGCTTGCTGTGGGAAACCCACACATTTCCTGTCAGAAGTGCTATGAGTAGAAATAGATCAAACTGTATTAAGGAAAGAGTGAAGAAACAAAATGGAGTCACCATAGCCAAACTAAAAGATTACTTAAATCAGAATGGACTGAAAGTGAGTAATAGATTTATTCTATTTTACTTTAGCTAGCCTGAGAATTTTGAACTTTTGAACTTTCAGACTGTGCTTCAATGCTTGGAGATACATGTAACTATTTCTATCTATCTATCTATAGACATATATATCTTTATCTTTTAAGGAAAGAATGTTTATGTGTCCGGACCAGTGAACATCTGGAAGATCACCATCTCCAACCAATCTAGAAGTTAAAAATGTAGCACTGATTCTTTTCAAGAACATACTTTTTACCATGAAATCTCAGGGTTTTTTTTTCTGAAACACTCTGGGTATTTCCTGGTAGTGTTTCCTTAATTGATATTTGCTTGCTTAAGACACTTGAATAAAACTTTGCCATTTAATTCTAATGAAGCTTCCTGATTCACTTACATTGGGTTGATACACATGCACACATAAATTTGGAAACACATATTCATGTTGCATGTGCATATAATATACTGTTCAGGGGAAGTGATATCCACATATTCTCTACTTTGTCATGGAGTTACATCTATTTCATATGGTACAAATAATAATTAGAAGAATATGAGATTGGCTCTAGCAAGAAGGAGAACTCTTTTTGCTCATCTATCCCCCTATTAGTTGATCAGTGCTGTGCTCTGTTATGTGGCTTTACTTCAAGTTATGCATTGACTGGACTTGGCTCATGGCTGTGAGTTGGGTTCAGTTTTGCTTCATGGGTGTTCGTTATGGGGCCCAGGCAGAGGGGCAGCAGCAATCCGGTAGGGATGTCTTCTCGGGGCAATGGTAGAGGGACAAGGGAGCATGTGGAAACATGTTCTACCTCTTAAATCCAGGTTCAGAAGGGGTGCCCTATTATATCTGCCCACATTTTATTGGATAAAGGTAAGTCACATGACTAAAACCCCCAAGTGAAGAGGTGGGGAGGTATACCGCTGCCTTAGAAGAGGAAGTGAGGGAATAAATATTTTTGAACAGCATTCTAATCTACCCAGGAGGAAAGCTGAATATATGTGTGTGTATTTCTTTGTATCTATCTATCTATCTATCTATCTATCTATCTATCTATCTATCTATCTATCTATCTATCTTCATCATCCATCTGTCTTGCCTCTTCAAACACACACAGTCAGTGATATCTTTGAAGTACTTGGACATTTAAAAAATATGGACCAGCAAACAAACAATACTGAGTAGCGTCCACCTGTTTTAGCACTAGAGCTTGCTTTCTGTCAAGTTTTTCTGCACTCTATTCTGGCCTCTCCACATTAATTCAGTTTACTCTCTGTTAAAAAAACGAGACAGGAGAATGTTTAAAGCAATGTTCTCTATGAAATATTTAAACATGGCTAAAACTACCAGCAATGTGGAGTTGAATGTTTTATGTGATAACTGGTGCTCAAATCTTGGTTCCTTTCAGGTAGGAAGGAAAGAAAAGTGGTGGCAAACCTGTGCCCTGTGCTTATTACTCAGTCACCTACAGGAATTTTAGGTGGATTTTGTTCCTATGTATAAAGCCTAACACCCACACTGAGATATTGGGTTCTCTCAGAATGTTCCATGAGAGGAACGGAAGTTAGAAGTGCTGGTACCTGTGACTCTAATGAATGGATTGAGGGAATAATGGAACATGTAGGGGTGTATTATATAATATTTATTGAGAATCTACCACATGCTGCCATGCTGTTGGCTGTCATTTTACACAAGAAGGAATTGTGGCTCAGAGTGGTAAAGTAATTTATTTAAGATCTCGTGGTTAGAAAGAGGTGAGCCAAGGTTCAAGTTGCAAAAGTCCATGTCCCTAGAAATGCCACTAGATTTGTGTATTATTGTTTCTTTCCACACTTCAGTAACTGGAAGCTTACTGCTTATAAAGCAGGTTGCATAGACAGCCCACATTTGTAACAATAAACTTATACTGATAATTCCTCCTGTCTCTCATAGCTCTTTAAAATCTCCTCTTTAGTCTTTTATAAGCTAGTTCCTCCAATTCCTTCTCAGATGACAGATAATTTAGTTTAAAAAATTATTTTATTGTATTTTTTCCATTACCATTTAACTGCCTTATACTCCCTCCCTCCTGCTGTTTTAATTACCTTAGTTATCTTTTCTCAGGTGAACTCTAGCTTTTCTTAGGTGGCAAAGAACCAAAAGCCAGAAGAATTCTCAAAAAGGGTGACAAGACCACCTGCTTTATCTTGGTGCTACTAGGGCAGGCAATTTCCTGGTTGGGAAGCCAAGCACTTATTACACCCCTGAAAGAAGAGAATAGAAAAGGGAGGATAAACCAAGAGAGGATCAGAAGTGAACAGATTCCCCATACATATTCCCTCTTCCCTGATGAGTATGTGATGGGAGATCATAATGATTTAGTTCCTGGATATCTCAAGAATATAAAATGTGCCATTTGAACTTCTAAATAATCATGGTATGGATTAAATATAGGCCTCACTAGGTGTGATTTATGAATAAATATAAAAAATATAAAACTCCAAGATTAGTTAGCATGGCTGGTGACACTGGCTGTGAAAGAATTCACAGTGAGAGGGAAATACAGAGAGTAAAGTTTAATCACTTTCCAAGGGAGGAAAGGGGCTAGGAGTGGAGACATGCACCAGCCCTGAAAGGTTAGGGCTTTGAGCTTCTATTGAGTTATAAAGGGTGAGAGGGTTGTATTTGGGTAATAGGGACAGTTGTAGAGCATGATGTTTCTGTTGGTCTTGTGCAGGCTGTTTTGATGTTGTCTTTGGGTGCTGGGTCTGGGCCTTCTGGTCTGCCACATCCTGTTTTGTAAGTTCTTGGAGCCTCTGTGCCTTCATGGTGCTTACAGTAATTTTCTAGTGCTGAGGATAGAGGCTTATAAAACAAGAGTCAGTCATGCTATATGGAGTCAAGCTAGTTCTGGCAAAGAGGATCTGAAAAAGAGGCTTTTATCCTTTTACGAGACAATTGAAAAAGAAGAAAACGAGCATTCTTCAGGGAAATGCAGTAAGGAAATGGACATGCTCTCTCACAAACACACACATAAACCCTGTGGCTTGACAACAGCTATAAAACAATAGCTACCTTGTTTAGGGAAGAACCTTTCCAATTACTTTTGGTGTTTCAACCAAATCCACACTTTACCTTGGTGCTTTGACCAGTGTATCAACTTGAACATGTGACTGCGTTAAGCACAGACCTGTCTGTATTCACCACAACATCCAGCCTTAAAGTCATTTCTGTCCCAAATGCACCAGTCACAACTTGGAAAGAGATTTTGCAAAGCCTTATGTTATAGGTCAAATTGTGCCTACCATTCATATGTTGAAGTCCTAACCCCTAGTACCTGAGAACATGACCTTATTTTGAGAGAGGGCCTTTACAAAGCTATGAAGTTAAGTGAAGTCACTAGGTTCAGCCTTAATTCATTATGACTGATGTCCTTTTAAAAGGGGAAGTTTGGACATAAAGAAGACATACACAGAGGGAAGACACCGAAGGGACACAGGAAGAAGATAGCCATCTATAAGCTATGGAGAGAGACCTGGAAAAGATCCTTTCCTCACAGCCTCAGAAGGAACCAACCTTACCCACACCTTGATTTTAGAATTTTAGACTCCAGAAATGTGAGACAATACATTTCTGTTTTTTAAGCCACCCAGTTTATGGCGCTCTGTTACAGCAGCCCTAGGAAGTGAATACACCCATTCAGAAATACACAGGTGTATCAGATTAAGAGGGGGAGCAAGAGAGAAAGAAAGAGATGAGGTTGGGAGTTTAATTATCTCACAATTTGTGTGGGTGTGGTAGTGGCTCAGCTTTGGAGTGGAGCAGGGACAACCGATAAGGTGTCTTGCATGAGGTCACTGCACTGTGTGTTTGGTTTACTTCAAATACACAAAAATATCAACGATCAGTTCAAAATGAAAAACTCTTCTAAAATGAGATTATTTTCACTTTAAAATATTTTTTTTTTCAGTTGGAATATTGCAGTTCACAAATACAGGGGTAGAGATGCCAAAGGGGAAATGTTTCTTTGTGGTGAGAATTTGCATGTGTCTGGTCCTCCCCCGCCCCTTCCTGCATTCTTTCCAGAGACTGGGCCCTCTGAAAGCAGCTACTGCGAATTCCTTTGGGTGGAGATTTTTTGTTGGACTGTTTCATTCCACTTTCTATTAAGACGAACTGCCAGTATGTGTTATGTCCAGACAACCACCTTGTAGAAACCCAGAAAAAGCTGCAAAATAGAAACGAGGTAATCTCCTTGAAGTGGCTTGTCGGGCCTTCTAAGGTCAGTGGGGAGGAGCTGTACTGCTCAGCACCCCCGAGATCTGAGTAGGGTTGTGGCAGTGCCAGGGCGCCTGCCCCTGCCTGCCTCCTCCGCACACTTGGAAATCACAAAAAGCCTTTCTGTCCACCGCAGCCTGTGAGTTGGCTTTCATCATTGGTGCCAAAGACCCGCCACTCTTAGGTAATAAAGGACATGAAGATCAATCCTGCGGGAAGAGACTCCAGTTCCAGAATGTCCCTTTGTTCAGAAACAGCTGTGTGGAATTCAAGACTATCCAAGGATGTAAAGATCACAGGATCTCTTTCTTTCATTGTCTACTTGTTCGTCTGGGCACCACACTGTGCTTCTGCCATCAGCAGAGCTGCCCACCGCAGTGAAGGCCCGAGGCCTTAGGTTAAAGATTTATTCTTTTCTGTGGAGGCCCAAGCCAGTTGTTAACCCTCTCCTTACCTATCTTTCATTTAAAATTTTTTTTAGTATTTTTTTTGATATACATACAAAAGAATATATAAATCATATAAGGACAATTTAAAGAGCAATGCCTGTGTACCCATCTCTAACTTAAAGAAATAAATGTTTTCTTCTTTTAGGGATATTGTATTGATGCTAGTGGAATCTTCTTTCTCTTTGGGATACTGTCTTTTGACATGGCTGTGTTATCCAGTCAAGCTGAGGCTCAGAGGATATTAGGATATGCGAATAACTAACTTGGACATTGGATACATCCCCTACTGGTGAACGAAATGTTAGCAAGCAAAGGCACAGCATTGCTGAAAATCTCTTTGTTAACAATGTGAATGCATGTAGCTCAATTAAAAAAATTTTCTGTTTCAAAGTTGGTATGGTTATAGCTATGTAGATTAAAATTCATCCATCCATCCATTATCTATCCATCCACCCATTCATCCAATATTTAAGTTATTTGTAATTGTGTGTTTATATATTTATTGGGTGCCTACTATGTACTAG